CAAATGTGCACACTAATGAGTATTCTGATTTTTACTAAATAGATTAATTATTTCAATTATTTGATAATTAAATTAGAGAATTTAATTTAATTAAATAAATAATTTTTTTTTATCTACATAGAATAATACTATATTTTTTACTAGTACAGATAATATAATTAGTATTGGAGATAAATTAAATTTTTGTATTTTAGAAATAAAAAATTAATATTTATATTTTTTTATTATTATATTATTAATGGAATAATATAATATGTGTGTCTATTTATAATAATGAAAGATTATTGTAAAATAATTTAGAATAGGAATGATTTATAAAATATTTTATTAAAAAAACTTTATACACTTATAAAGAGACAGCTGACATATACATATATATAATTGGGTTGTTGAAATATATGTATATATATGTACATATATGAGATGTACATATATATATATATATTATTGGGGTGCCAAAACATATATATATTTATATGATATATATAATGTGGGTGCTGAAAAAGCAAGGGGTGAGCCGCACACTAAAAATTAAGAAAAGAATGAGGGAATTTTTCTTTTAGTTATGTTAAAATTTTGTGAAAAAACTTTAACATAAATATTATTTAATTTATTTGTATATTCTAATAATGAAATAGTTGATTAGTAAATGTCAGTTTTCATGTGGATTAAAATTTTTGTATTTTCAAAAAATTTTAATTTGAGAACTCATTATTAGATATATGTTATATTTAATCTTTAACAGGTATAATAATTTTTTAAAAACAAATAAATTAAATTGAATTGTTTTATATGTTCCCATGCGGAAAATATTACAAACCTATAATTCAAGCTTCAAAAAGAAATCATTTTGATTGTTTTTGGGTTGGGTTTACGTATAGATCTGGGTGTGGTTTCTTGAGCTGGGCCTATTGGACTTTTTCATCTTTTCTTCTTTTCTCTTCAACAATGCACCTGCATAAAAAAATTTAGCTCATAAGCTAATTGTGAACTCAAAATTCATTTAAATTTATTATAAATTTAAGTAATAAGGGTATCAAAATTATGATAAAAATGTAACACATCAAATACCTTTAAACTTAAATTTTTATTTATCCTCAAGTAAAAGACTGAAAAAAAAAACACTTAAAGAGCTTATTTTTCCACCACATTCATATGTTCTGCTTGATAGTATTGAAATTTTATTTATTTCTTGTAGTTTTTGGTCAATTAAAAATTTAAAAGTGATGTTGTAAAGTAAAAATAAACTATTAGCTCTTACACCTATCAACAAAATTTGTATAATTTCAACACATAAGTTCTCTATCTAAATTTGTATTATTAATTAATAAAATATGCTTTGTTTAACCTTATCTCTTTGCTACTACAACCAAGGTGGTAAACTTACACTATTTATTACTTTTCTTCTTACAATTTCTTTTTTTATGGGTCTTGCAACACCCCGACTATCACTGTGCTAAAAATGATTTAGAAACTCTCTTCATTCGGATTTTTGTCCACCTTAAATTTAATTAATTTACTCTGTTTTTGAGATCCATGATTTTAATATATTTTTATTTTATTATTATTTTATTTTAAATTATTCTAAATTATTTTATTTTATTTCAAAAAAAAAATTAGAAAAAAATCAAAAAACGGCGAAACAAGAGAAAACCTACTAGCGGGAAAAATCTTGTGAGAAATGGTTGCCCGCACGGATGCTGGGCATGCGCACAAGGCACACGTCCCACCCGCACACTAGCACGCACGAGACATGCGCACAACACGCACGTCCCTCCACACACAAGCGTGCACAGAATGTGCGCACAGCGTACACGTCCCCTCCACGTGCACAGCGCAGGGTCAAGATCTGCACGCGCATCTTGTCGCAAGCAAGTGGGTTATCCACGCGTCACTTCGCGCATGGACTGGTGTCGCATACTGTGTGCACATTGTCCGTGCAGCAGGCCTACACGGACAGGCCCTCTGAGCCTGGGGCCTGCATGCAGTAGGCCTGCGCGAGCGACGCCCAGTGCGCCAAGGCCCTGCATGCACGCAGGCTAACTCGTAGCGCGCTAGCCGGGCTCTAACACCTCAGACAGTGCTCCACTGTTGCCTTGGGTGCCACGCCGCCTTAGGCATTGTGCCGCAGCCGCCGGTGGAGGAAAATTTTCTCCTCCGTTTTTCTTGCCAAGAATCTTTTTCTCCTCTCTCTTCATCAGATTTCGCCACCTGGTGCGAATCTAATGGTTCTGAAATTCTATAAATTATCATCCCCCTTCCCTTTTTCTCCACACCTCTATTTGTTCTATTTTTTGAAAGTTTAGAGAGAGAGAGAGAGAGTAAATTAGTGATAAAAGAAGAGAAGGAAAGGAAAAACGGTAAAGAAGAAAACATCAAGGTTTTTGTGAGGAATTTAGTATTACTTTCAATATTTTAAGGAGTATTATTAGACAAGTAAATTAATGTGGTTGTTATTTTATCTGTTTTGTATGCTTCTGTGTTCAAATGAGTCGAATTATTTTAATTTTCAAGCATGTTGTGTGATTTACTGACACTTGATGAATTTATATATAATAAACATAATATGTGATCCGTGATAATAAAAGTAAAATAAAAGAAAAAAAAAAGTGAAATGAAGCCTATATGGTCTGAAGTGTATCTGTATTGACATACATATTGCATCAAGTGTCTCGTTAGACTTTTTATCTCTGAAGGATATCTGTTCCCCTTGCCCTTCAGAGTATCTGTTTTTCCCTCCCCTATCTGGTCTAGAAAGACGTAAGAAGACCGCTCCTAATGGATGACGGTGTGCCCTCTGACGAGAGTGGTATCACACTATCTATAGGGGTCACCCGTGGCTAAATAATGTTGTGATTATAAACTAATATATTAGGACCACTATAGTTGGTATAGTCGTGGTCATAGATCGTACCATAGTTTGGCCAACCGGAAGTGGGCCTAAGCAAATTGCCATATCTGTATCTGATCTTGTCATTCTACTTGGGTAGTTGGAAATCTGTATCTGTATTTACCATCAGAGATGAAAGTTTGTAATGATTTTGCGAAGTATGACACAAAAAATCTGTGTTTCATGATTTATTTGATTTTTTTTATTTTTTGGCATGATATATGTATATTTGATTTTCTGTGCTGACGTACTATTTTGATATTCAAATAAATATTTTTTCTAATGATGAGTTAGGTGAACGAGGAAGCTGAACGGTAAGAAAAAATAATAAACTTTTAAAATCTTATGATATTAATTTAATATTATTTTTTTTACTGAGTATATAAAACTCACTCTTTTTATCTCCCCTCTCCAGATAAGGAACTGTAGGCAGATATACCCTTGGAAGTCTATGAGGATCCTAGGGTCCACAAGTCTAAGTGTATGTTTGTTTTCGTACTCTGATAAATTCTAGTAGCATAGTAAAAGAAGTAGCCCTTATGTTTTGTATTTTGTAGCCATTTCTGGCATCAGTGATGTATGTATTTGGAACAATATATATATATATATGTATATATCTGTAAGAGCTTTGTTAAGGTTTGATTATGCTACATAAATATTATCATATACTCGTTATTCTGAATCTATATCTGACACCCATTTGCCTTAATTAGCACTTGAGATGTCACAGGTCTAGTTTCATAAGATGAGCATGTTGGACTTCTTCTTTTTTTCTTTTCTTCAACGATGTAGCTTGCTTAAAAAAAATTAGCTTATAAATTAATTATGAACTCAAATTTCATTCAAATTTATTATAAAATTAAGTAAAAAATGTATTAAAATTATGATAAAAATATAGCACATCATCTACTATTCTCTGTGGTCGAGGAATGGATCACATTACTACTTGTTATTTAAATGTACAAATCTCACTAAGTATGCACAACAAGCAGAACAAATACTTCATTATGTATTCTTTGTGATTGACCATCTCTACTCTAGAGAAATCAGAGTATGCATATTAATTTGCAAATCAATCATCACAAATGCATTCAACTAGTCAAAACCACCTATCTCTACCAATTCAATATATCAAAGACTCATCAAGTGTCACACAATTTTCAAGAATGTATGGGGGTACCCAAAAAAGGAAATTACTTGTCGAAATGTTATAAAACTACAAAGAGCCCTTTTTGGTTTAGTCCTTCAACACCACGACGCCCTACATGCACCTGTGCATTCATCAAAACCTTTTATATTAACAACCATTATTGAGGGTTTTGGAGATCTGTTTGTGAAAATGAAAGAATTAGAGTTGTCTCATGCCTCTAAAACATGGATAGGTATATGCATGATGGGCTCGAGCTCTTAAATTATCCATCTTTTTATGTGCAATAACTCAACCCAATAATAGCTCATTTACATTTACATTGGTTTTATGATGACTCAGGTCATAATCTTTAAGCCCATGGTTTACTTAGGTACACTAGAGCTTATGATGAACCGAGTCCTTTTTTGTCAATGTAAACTTTTATATATGAATATATATTACTTCTCAATCACTCTATATATAATTCCATCCTTAAAATATAATGAGATATCAATCGAATCTCAAATTTAAAATTCTCTAACACCAAAGACAATATAAATGAATAATTATTCGTCAAAAGAATAAAATAACAAAAATCAACATGCACAAAAATTATGATAAGCTTTCTTTTTGCAAATGTGATGAGATACTCTAAGCTTTGGCTGCATCCTACTAAGTGAAGACATTTCTAGAATAAATATAACAAAAAAATTGTTGAAATTTATTTATAAATTTTTATTTAATTTAATTTAATTTAATATAAATTTGTTGAACCAATACATATCACTAGAGATTCTAATTTCATTAAAAGAATTTTAAATCTATTTCATCATGTGTAAAAAAGCCCTAGGCATGCTTAAATCTATCCCAATTACCAGACCCCTAGGTGCTCTCCTCATTTTCTTGAACACAAGTGCTCGTTGGTCAGAAAACAAACTCAACATAGGGCATAGTTTAAATGGTTCGGTTCTGCTGGTAGTGATGAAGAAAGTGATGGAATCAAAGAAGCAGGATCCTCCAGGTCGTCCAGGGCTGCCCCTCACTGGTTCTATGCGCCAACTTGGCGGACTTCTTCATCAATCTCTGTGGCAAATGTCGAAGAAATACGGCCCTGTAGTCCGATGGAAGCTAGGAAATGTATCTTTAGTCGTCATTTCCTCAGCCGAAACTCCTAGACAGATTCTCAAAGTTCACGATTTCGAGACTTGCGGCCGACCTAAATTGTTAGCCACAGGCATTTTCTCATACGATTATCTCGATATAGGTTTTACTCCTTTTGGCGAATACTGGAAGGAGGTCCGCAAGATTAGCGTTCATGAGCTTTTCAGCAACAGTAGAGTCCAGTCATTTAGGTACATCAGAGAGGAAGAGATTGCTTCACTCGTTCAATCAATCTCTCAATCCGCTGCTTCCAAGTCACCTGTGGATTTAACCGAGAAGCTGTTTTTCCTGAAAGCGAATGTGATCTGGAGGGTTGCGTTTGGAGGCAACTTTGAGAAGAATAAATGCGAGCACGTTTCAGAGGAAGTTCAGCGAAATGACATCGATTATGGGATCCTTCGCTGCTTCTGATTTCTTTCCCTATGTTGGATGGATTGTTGATAGGCTCACAGGTCTTTATGGTCGGCTCCAGAAGAGTGCACAAGCACTGGATAATTTTCTGCAAGAGACAATTGATTAGTATGAAGGAAATAAGGTAGAAGAAGGGAAGGAGGATCTCATTGATGTACTGTAAAAGTTAGAGAAGCAGCAGAAGAACAAGGCTCTGTTACTCTCACCAGAACTCATATCAAAGCAATCCTCATGGTAGATATACCCTTTGTCTGATTCCATCTCCTTAGTTTAAACAACGTTATAATTAATGTCCATTAATAATAAAAATACATGAGTTTATATAGTCTGGCTGCTGCATGCATTAACATTTAATGTACATGTGTCAGGATGTATATGTGGGTGGAATTGATACATCGCGAATCACCATTGTATGGGCATTAACAGAGCTTATGAGGAACCCAAGAGTGATGAAGAAAGTACAAGCTGAGATTAAAGGTGTCATCGGAAACAAAGGAAAAGCCAAAGAAGACGATATTGAAAAACTTGAATACCTGAACATGGTGGTGAAAGAGACCTGGAGACTTCACCCACCAGCTCCACTTCTAGTTCCAAGGGAGGTCATGTCCCAGTTTGAGGTCAACGGTTACAAGACATACCCAAAGACCGGAATCCATATTAACGTGTGGGCCACCGGACGTGATCCCAAGTTTTGGAAGGACCCATAAGAGTATTTGCCAGAGAGATTTCAAAGGCCAGCACTTTGAGTTTTTACTATTCGGTGGAGGACGCAGAGGCTGTCCAGGTATCAACCTGGCATACAAAATGGTGCGGCTTGCACTTGCAAATCTTTCAGATCATTTTGATTGGAAATTACCAGAAGGGTTGAGAAAGGAAGATATCAACGTGGACGAAGCGCCTGGCATCACTGTTCCGAAGAAGACCAATCTTGTGCGTGTTCCTGTTTCCCATGTCTGATCTTCTCAAAACATATATTTGTTCTCAATGGTCTGCACTGTAGAATTAATTTGTGAGCTTTTCCCATTCGCTTAATTCCTTGGATCGAAATTTCATTAATTTGTGAGCTTTTCGGCATTAAATGTTAATTTGGTTTTATTGCAATTCAAATGTCATAATTTTGTCATTTTAGATGAAAATATTACTTTTAAAGTAATGTTATATATGTTTAGGAAATTATAGTTTTTACTTTTAATTTTAATTTTTTTAGCCTTAAACTTAACCATATATATATTTATGCCTAAAAGATTGTACGTATATTTTTGCATATATCTTCTAGTTAGATTGTAGATTCATCAACTAATTATATCACTATTAAATGATCAATTGTTTTTCATGTTCTTGAATAGTCTCTATAATAATTTCAGGATTTATATTTTCTGTTGTTTCAATTATAGAATGATAAGAATGTGAGAATTTTTAGAATATATCTTCATATGATATTGTAAATATCGATCGAATAGTTTTTTTTTTTGGAATAAAAAAATATAAGAAGTATATTAATCAAATGATATCAAGGTATGTATACCATATACAATCAGTGCATATAAACTTTTATTTTGATAATGATAAGCAAGCCCTATGATAGTGTTTCTAAAAAAAAAAAAAATCAGTGGAAGTACAGTTTTATTATTAGTCTATTTGAGTTAATATGGTGGATTTACATTCAAAATATTTGGGTATACCAGCAATTCTCTTTGGGTAGAAAAATAATAATAAATAAATAAATAAATAATGCTGAAAGTAGTGGCTTTAAATAAGTCATGGCAGAATGCTTTATAAGAATTTTTCATTTACCCAAATCTATTTATTTGTCGATGAAAATGAGTACATTAATTTTTAATATAATTTTTAATTTTTAATTTTTAATTATTTTTAGTATTAAAATATTTTTATACCATTTAAATTTTACCCAAAAATTTATTCAGCTAAAAAACAATTATATGTAAATTCTCTATCCATTAATACGTACATTTTTTTTTAAAAGTAGATAAATAAAAGACCAATTATCAAATATTGATGAAAATATGAGTTTCAATATTTTCCTTTTTTTCTCCTGCTATATGTGACTGTGGCTTATTATTATCACTAACTAATATAGTTTATCCAATTTTTTTATTCTATTTATTTAAATAAGATTAGAATTTTGATTTTGCCCTTCGTTGTAATTTTTTCCTTAAATCATAAACCATAAACCATAAGCTGTTTTTTTTTTCTCCCTAAACAAACCTCAAATTATTTATTCTTCTTTTACAATGTTAATGTTAAAAAAATATATATGAAAATTAGGGTGGGTATCTTGTAGTAAAAAAATCTATAAAATTTGGACCAAAATTTAATATTAAATTGGTAATTTGCATACGGTTTAGATGTCAAAATCTAATAAGATACCCATGACATCTCAAATCCGAATCCTCTCAATTTCTAGAACAATGGAAATAATTTACTAAGTTAAATAATAAAATATGAACCAACTATTTGTTACTTCCAACATTTAATAATATAGATTTACGTTTAATAATATATCTCGAACATATTTTATTAAAAAAATTAATTATATTATTATTAATGTATAAATAACACATTATTAAAAATTAATATGTATTAATTATTGGATCATGGTATCACCGTCACATCCAAAGATGAAAGATATGGAATCTTGTTACTAAGAAATGGAATCGTGCCTGTAATACTATTGAAGCTTGGAAATGTACCCTTTGTCGTCGTCTTCTCTTCGAATTAGCAAGGTAGATTCTCATAGATCACGACACCAAGGCTTGTAGCCGACCCAAATTGCTAGCTACAGGCAGTTTCTCTTACAATTTTCTCGATATAGCTTTTGCTCTTTACAACGAATACTTGAAGGAGATGCGCAAGATTAGCATTCACTAGTTTTTCAACAACAAAAGAGTTCAGTCATTTCAGTTCATCAGAGAGGAAGAGGTTGCTTTACTCATTCAATCTCTCTCTCAATCTGCTATTTCTAACTCCCTTGTGGATATAAAAGAGAAGTTGTTTTCCCTCAACGAATGTGCTCTAGAGGGTCACATTTGGAGATAGCTTTGAGGAGAATAAATACGAAAGCGGCGTGTTTCAAGAGAAGCTCAATGAGGTGATATCGCTTCTGGGAATCTTTTCTGCTTCTAATTTCTTTCCTTGTGTTGGATGGATCATTGATAGGCTCACGGGGCTACATAGTAGGCTCCAGAAGAGTGTATAGGAAATGGATGTTTTTCTACAAGAAATAATCGAGAAGCATGAGAGAAAAAAGGTAGAAGAAGGGAAAGAGGACATAGTTGATGCGCTCTTCAAGATAGAGAAGCTGCAAAAATAATAAAGCTCTGTAACTCTTTCTAGAAGTCATATTAAAGCAATCCTCAAGGTATGTATATGGCCTTTTTTCTGATCCCATCTATTTAAATTTACATAAAATTGATAATTTTCATTGGTGAATATACCATTTTAACTCTACCCGCAATTTATATTTATTGAAGATTGAGTTTTCCATGGAACAAGGAGTTGTTTTTTTTTTTGTCATTTCAGCTCCAGATTTTATGTTTACTGTTTCCTTCTGGTATTGATAGCTTTTGATAACAACTGTCAAATAGGAATAGAACTCTACATTTTTGTTCAGCTCTATGTCTTTCTGCTTAAATTATGATATATATCAGAGTTGGTAGGATTAGTTGAAGTTTGTAAACTCTTTCTTCCATTTTGCATATATATATGTATAAAATTAATGGAAAAATGTATGTTACGAAACATTTTCCTCGCACCAGAAGACTCATATTTTTCTGTAATTTTTCCTCTTCATTTTCTTCTATATTCTTCTATTTTTCATAAATTTAATTAACTAATATCAATAATGGTATCAGAGTTGTTGTTCTTGTAGACTGTGAGGAGTTAAGCTAGCTTGTTCTTTGATTAAACATCATCAAGTTGACAAAAAATGACCATGAATATGAATTTACCTGTACTACTAGTATTCATAGGAGAAAATTATGATTATTAGGCTGTAAGGATGGAATCATATTTGCTTGTTTATGACTTGTGGGCTGCTGTAGAGAAGAATTATGTTCGAGTGCCTTTACCTGAAAATCCTACATTAACACAAATTTGTCAAAATAGGGCTCCATGAAGAATTTTAAAGCTCTATCCATTCTCCATTCAGCTGTATCAGAAGATATTTTTCCAAAGTTGGTTGGTTTTAGAACGACAAAGAAAACTTTGGATTATTTAAAGGAGGAGGATGCTGGAAGTGCAAAGGTGAGAGGTGTAAAATTATTAACATTAAAGAGGAAGTTTGAGCTGATGAAGATGCAAGAAGGTGAAAGTGTTAAAGACTACACTACCAAGGTTATGAATTTGGAGAATCAAATCAGATTGCTTCGAAGGGATTTCAAGGATCAAAGAGTTGTAAAAAAAATGATGATCAGCCTTTCAGAAAAGTTTGAATCAAAACTCTCAATGATTGAAGAAACTTGCGATATGGAAAAGCTGTCACTAGCTGAGCTGATAAGCAAGTTGCAAGCTCAAGAACAAAGAACTTCTATTAGAAGCGATGGTATTGTAGAAAATGCATTCCAAGGTAGACAAAAGAAAAAGCAAGTTGCTATAACCTTAAAAGAAGTTGGTCAATCTTTTGAGCCTAAAAGTAAATAGCAGTAAGGCTTAAAAGAGTCAAATAAAAAAGAAAAACTTCTTGTTTGCAGCCTTTGTAGGAAGAGTAGGCATATGAAGAGCAAATGCTAGAAGAATTTGTAATGTAAAGTTTCTAAAAAGACAACACACATTGCAAAAGTTTGTTGGAAAAGAAATAAAAATCATAGAATTCACATCAATAACAAAAACAGTCTACTGAGCAACAACACGCTAACTTTGTGGAGAATCAAATGCAGCAGGAGAGCCATTTATTTATGTTTACTCAAGATCTTTATGTACCCGATATTGATATTTGGTACATTAACAGTGGTTGTACAAGCTACATGACTAGCGATTTGAGATTATTTTTTAGTTTAGATTCTAGCTACAAAACCAAAGTGAAACTTGAAAATGAGATGATTGTGGAAGCTCAAGGCAAAAGTTTAGTGTCAATTCACACTAAACAAAGTACAAAATTTATTACTGATGTCTTATTTATTCCTAGTCTAGAAAAACAATTATTGAGTATGGCTCATATGCAAAACAAAAAATATTCAATTTTATTCAAAAATGATTGTTACCATGTATATGATGCTGCAAATGTTGAGGTTGTGAGAGTTAAAAAGGTTAATAATAGTAATATTTTATGTTTGAAACATGTGAATCAAATTGCTTTATCTGTTAAAAATGATGAAATATGGTTGTGGCATAAACGTTTTGGTCACTATCACATTGATGCATTAAAGTTTTTGCAAAAGAATGGTATGGTGAGTAATATCCCTGTTATTTCTGGTGGAGAAGAAGTATGTATAGCTTGTCAGTATGGTAAAATGCATAAGACCAGTTTTCCAACTAGTAGAGTTATTTGTGCAACAAGAAAACTTGAACTAATCCACTCTGATGTCTGTGGGCCTATGAGTGTTGCTTCTTTAAGCTACAATAAATATTTTATTTTGTTTATAGACAATTTTACAAGGATGACCTGGGTCAGGTGTTTTAAATCATATATAGAAAAGCAAATTGGATGTGAGATAACAAACTTAAGGTCTGATAATGGTAGTGAGTATACTTCAGCTGAGTTCACGAAGTTTTGTGATGATTGTGGTATGTTGTAGCAATTTACTGTTGCTTATTAACCTAAGCAGAATGGGGTCTCAGAAAGAAAAAAAAATGACAGTAATGGAGATGGCTAGATGCTTGATGTCAAAAAAGGAATTGCCCAAAAAATTTTGGGTTGAAGCTGTATATACTTCAATTTATCTACTTAACTGACTTCCCACCAGATTAGTTAAAAAAAAAACTCTAATTGCGGCATGGAGTGGTTCAAAGCCTTCAGCAAAGCACTTGAGGATCTTTGGCTCAATTTACTGTACACTTGTTCCTTTTGTGAAGAAGACCAAGTTAGATAACAAAGCTCAAATTGGTATATTCTTGGAATATACAGGATAAGCCAAAGGTTATAAGAATTTATGATGTGTATTCTAGTAATGTATATGTCAGTAGGGATGTAAGATTTGATGAATAAGTTTTTTGGGATTGGGAAAAGAAACAGGCTAAAGTAAAAAAAAATTAAGGAAGGCTCAGTTATTTTTGAGTCTACATCAGGTTCGTGTAATTCAATTCAGTATGAACGAAGCGACCATGATGTTGATTCAGATCCTACTGCTGATACTCCTACTAAGAAAACAAAGTCACTTGTTGAAATTTATGAGAGATGTAACTTAGCAGTTATAGAACCATCTAACTTTGATGAAACCTTAAAGCATCCTAAATGGAATACGGTTATATAGGAGGAGTTTGACTAATTTGCAAGAATAAAACATGAGAGCTCACATCAAGACCTCTGAACAAGAATGTAATAGGGGTAAAATGGGTCTACAAAACTAAGTTTAATGCTGATGGGTCAGTCTTCAAGTATAAAGCTAGACTTGTGGTATAGGGATATGCTCAGCTTGCAGGAGTTGATTTTGGCAATACTTTTGTAGCAGTTGCAAGATATGAAACAATAAGGTTACTTTTAATTCTTGTAGCAAAGAAAAGTTGGAAGCTGTTTCATTTAGATATAAAGTCATCTTTTTTAATAGTCTTGAAAAAAGAGATTTATGTAGAGTAGCCACAAGGTTTTAGGTTTTTGACGATGGTGATTATGTGTACAAGCTAAAGAATATCTTATATGGGCTTAAGCAAGCTCCTAGAACTTGCTACATCAGAATTGATTCACATTTGATCAGCATGGGTTTTAGGAGGAGTGAAATTGAACCAACTCTTTATGTGAAGGGCCTTGATGAAAACAATCAGCTTGTTGTGTCAATATATGTTGATGATTTGTTGTCATAGGAGGAGACTTAAAGCTGTTGATACAATTTAAACAGCATATAATGGCAAAGTTTGAGATGTCAGATCTTGAAAAAATGGCAAATCTTTTATATCATTTTGATTAGAAATTACCAAATGGGATGAGCAACGAAGATATAAACATAAATGAAGCTCCTGGTCTCATTATCCATAAGAAGATCCCTCTACAGCTTGTTTCTACCGCCTATATGTGATCTTCCCAACATACATATACATGTTCCTAAATCTACAGTGTAGAATTACTTTGTGTAGTATTTCATTTGCCGATTTCTTTGAATGTCTTCATTATCAGTAAATATTGATTTGGTTTTATTTTGATTCAAACTTCTTAATTTTTTTCTCATGTTACATAAAAGTACAATTATTTTTATACACGTTAAAAACTTTTAGTTTTCTTTTAGTTTGATTTGTTTAGCTTTAACTTGCATATATTTATTTACGCCTTAAACTTATACACATATTTTTTCTTATTACCTTCTAGCTAGCTAGGTTGTAGGTTCATGAACTATTACATTACTAGTCCGGCACTAACGCAGGTGTTGCTGAAAAGTTGCGACAACTTGAAAAACAAAATAGCCACAGCCAACATCTCATAGATAAGAAGAAAATGTAAAATAAAAATAGTAAATGCATCATGGCAGCATTAGTGACAGTTACTGTAATAGTTATAAGCATTAGTAATTCTCGACGGATCTGACCGTTGCAACAGGTGCCATTAAAAAGAAAATTGAATCCATCGCAAAATCCATTTCTAATTTTTCTTTTTCTTTACTTTTAATCATAATATTCAGAACTAGTTTTGAGAGATTTACTTTCTTTGTCTTTGTTTCTGTTTCTCTTCTATTTTTCTTTTTTCAACTTCTTTATGCTTTATCAGCTAAATGTTAACAATTAATTTATGTATATATATATATATATATATATATATATATAAAGTGACTATTTCTATAATTAAAAAAATTCATAAATAATTTATAATAAATTTTATAAAATAAAGATATAACTTCTTTTAGGTTCATAATTAAATAATAATAAATTTATTTTTCCTACTAATGATAATAATTAACGTGTGTGAAAAAACTAATAACAATTTACAGTGTTACTTGCCGTAGCAACAAATCTATTTAATCACGCCAACAAAAATAATTATAAATTATGTAGTACTGGTACATATCCATATACTTGGTTGCAATTAAATTAATGTAAATTAATTATAAATTACATTACAACTGATGGCTAATTAATTTAGCGGGTACAGATTTAAAATTCATTAGCGTAATCACCGACTGATAATTAAATAAAGTTCCTTTTCGTATAATAATCCAAACGATGTGAGATAATTAGTGGGCTGCTAATTCATCTTTTAAGATTTATCTCATTATCCTCACACTCTCCTAATCTCACTACCACATTAATTAATTATTATAATTATTATTTAGATTAAATATTAGTCCCTTGAAATGGGTAAATTTTGTTATCATTATTAGTAACTGGGTAAATATTAAATTAATTCAGTAATTTATTAGTTGAATAATTGGTGATTCCATTATTCATTTAAACTTCAAAAAAAATAATTGAGTAATAGAGATTTGGTTGGAGTTGCAGTGCAGCTGTATATACAGCGTAAAAGAGTAAAATCCGTTGTCACAATGAACGTGCTCTATGTACACACTTTTGAACTAGCCGTTACTCTCTTCTTTTTATGTGGGTCCATAAATGCCCCTCCAACGGTCATATTTGGTATATTACCAAATATGACCGTTGTGTCTCTACATGTTCAGCATTTAAACCCCCTTGCTCTGCCTTATCAACGCAAAATTACCAACTCAAATTCCAATCAATCACTTGCCAAAAATCTAACTTTCCATACCCTCCATCAAATTTCATCAGAATCCAAAAAAAACCCCCAAATGGGCCTCTCCATGAATGTCGATCAAGGCTCCATCACTCGATCGCACTATCACACTCACAAGGTCTTCTTGTTCTGCAATTATATTCTCCTCGGTGCTGCATCCAGTTGCATCTTCTTGACGCTCTCGCTTCGCTTGCTGCCTTCTCTCTGTGGATTCTTTTTCATTCTCCTCCATATCCTGACCATAGCCGGTGCCGTATCGGGCTGTGCAGCAGCCTCTTCGGGAGGAAAAAACAGATGGTACGCGGCACACATGGTGACCACAGTGCTAACTGCAATATTTCAGGGGTCAGCGTCGGTTCTAATCTTCACAAGAACAGGAGATTTTCTGGGAAACCTCAAGTCGTACGTGCGGGAGGAAGACGGAGCTCTGATTTTGAAGTTGGCTGGTGGGTTGTGCGTGGTGATATTTTGCCTGGAATGGGTGGTGCTGGTGCTGGCTTTCTTCTTGAAGTACTATACGTATGTGGAAGGTGATGTTAATGGCAATAATACTTATGCTATGAGGAGTGCCAAGGTACAACAAGAGGAGGATTTGAAGGACTGGCCATGGCCATTCCAAGTCTAATTTCATATTTTAAATATCTGGGTATAGCATAATCGTATGCCTATTGTTTTTATTGGCTGTCTCTATTAGGCTGCGCAATTCGTTCATTTGTTGAGGTTTGTTTTATTGCATTATTTTATTTTACTTTGTTTTCTTGGGTATATTTGTAATGGGATGATGAGCATCTCAAAAATATTATAAAAGAGATCTTAATCTGTTTCATCTTTCTCTCGATCCGATGCCTATTGTTTGTATTGGCCGTCTCTTTTTGGCTGCGCAATTCATTCATTTGTTGAGGTTTGTTTTATTGCATTATTTTATTTTACTTTATTTTCTTGGGTATATTTTGTAATGGGATGATGAGCATCTCAAAAATATTATAAAAGATATCTTAATCTGTTTCATCTTTCTCTCAATTGTTTGTTACTGGTTATGTGTAGTCCTGCTGTTTATAATATACTAATAGGTTGGATTTTATTAGTTAGCGAAATGGATTGCAAAAAACTAATTTGATTTTTGAACAATTACAACATGGTTGGTATTGATTTGATCCTAGAGGTAGATAGAAAGAGACAAGAAGAGCTTAAATTATAAATAAAATAAAAAAACCAGATGAGTATCAGTCACAGTAATCTGCTGAACATATATTAAGAACAATAGCATTTTCAGATTCCTGTTTTATTTTCCATCATAATTCATATCTCTCTGCCAGCATTTTTTTAAAGAAAGAATAAAATAAATAGCATTTTCTCTTTGGGCAACAGAGTCAAATCATGAATGGCCAGAGCAAGAATTCCAAGGTCTAAAAAGGAAAAAGTAAATGGAACAAGCAACCCAAATCTGTTGCCAACTTGGAATATCTAACAATCCATGTTTGTCAGACTAAAATTATCTGTATTTGTGCAGAGTTGTCATCCTCCTACTTCAATCCCAGATTTCCAGTGCCCTGGTATATCAAAATCCTCAACCTTCGTTGTGAAATGACGCCAAATCGAACGACCGAGCTTTTGTGTTGTTGCCACTTTTCATCCTCAACAACCCATATAATTTCCTAAACTCTTTCACCGCAGGAGATCCTCCTTCCTTGCAGAACACTCTGCTCGGCTCCTCCACTTCCTCCTCCGCCGATTTTCTCGACCAGTTTTCACAAAACCGTCGTCGGATTCCCCCTATCCCCCTCCTATCTCCGTCCGTTTGCAGCGCGTTGATCACCGATTTCAACGCGCGGCTCGGCGAGTTCCTGTTGGCGATCATGAGCTCGCTGATCTCAGCCGGGCTCAAGCTGGCGCCGTTTTGGAAAATCTCCTCTACCTGAGGGAATAGTTTATGGTCCTTCACCCCCAAGTAACTCACGGCTAGAGTCTTGAAAGCAGAGAAATCACAGAGAGGAAAATGAATGTGCACATCGATACGTCCCGGTCTAAGTATGGCCTGGTCAACGAGATCTTTGCCGTTCATCGTGAACACCATTACTTTCTCCTCGGCGCAGCATGAGCTCAATATTCCGTCCATGAAGTTCAATATACCCGACAAACTCACAGCCGTTGATTTATCAGCCAAGAAACGATCCAATTCTTCGATGACAATCACCGATTTGCTCGTCGTTTGCAACAGAAGCATCTTGAGATCAGAATCATCCGAGATTTTGAAGAGGTCTATTTCGTAGACGTCGTAGCAGAGGAAATTGGCCATGGCTGCAATGAAGCTCGATTTCCCGGTGCCGGAGGGACCGTACAGAAGGAAGCTTCGCTTCCAGACTCGGCCGAGTCGG